TGGCTGATCCTTCGGCTCTCTTCTATGAGAATAGGGGTGAACGGCAGCGAGTGAGCTGCCGGAGCTTCGGCTTAGCCGATCCATATGTTGGAGCATGTTCGGCTGACCGAAGGCAGCCGATGTACGGCTGATTTCAGACGATGTACGGCTGAAATCAGCCGTATGGAGCCGAAGTGAATAGCCGAACACCGTTCAACTGACTTCACTTCGGCTCGGCTATTCACTCGGCTACCTTCGGCAGCTTAGTGAATAACCCTGTAAATGTATTATTACTTAAAAAATAAGAATATATGAATCAAAGTTCGGCACAGATTGATGTTTATGTATAGAAGACCATTCTTGGGGTGACAGCAACAATAAAGACCCAGGCCATTCAGTAGAGGATGCAAAGCACATACTAGGGTCTAGTAACCCTCTCAGTTTCAACTAGATAGTATATCTGCAGAACTTCTCTAACAACACAACTAATAGGAAGTTCACCAGAACTGGCACCTTTCCAATGTCAGCTATGTGTAAAAAAAAGTGTCCACAAGGGTTCAATAACATGTAAAATATATCCAGCCATAAGAAACTGAAAGCCACACACATATATTTGTGGATATGTTTTAAATAGCTCCATTAATGAAGCTCTTTAAGTCAAGGTATAGAAAACAAGCAATAAGGGGAATATATGCATGTCTGTGAAGGGAGTAACAACAAATGACTGTGTGTACAGAGGCTGAGTAATGTCTACATTGTGTTAGACTCTGAACAGAAAGCCACTAATTAGAAGAGAAGGAAGTTTCTATCTGCAGGGCTCAGACACCACTGGCAATGCAGATTCCCATCCTCTACCCACACCAGCACATATGAAGCTGTCAGACGCACAGAAGGAACTGTCACAAACACTCACCCTGATATATCCACTGTATGTTTTTGGTGATTCTTGTGGGTGATATGAAGTGAACAGCAATGCAAATGGCAAATGAAATAAAAGCATCTGTGTACAATTTTATTTCAATGTGATAAAACAGAAGAGACCTAAGAAGGTCTCATGCACAGATATAGGCAGCAATGGCTGTTAATTGAAATAGAATATATTTTTATCAAATCTTCTACCATGTAGGACACAGAGGGATTCAATAAAAGCCAATTTATTTTACCCTAAATTAAAGTGTATCTAAACCAAAAAAATCTATTTTTTTAGTATGTGTGTTATGTCTCACTGTATAGAATATTGTTAAGCAAAACATTTTTTTTGTCTTGCCTGATGATCCTGCTAGTATCCTGTGACAACTGTATATCATTGAGTTTCCCCTCACTTTTTTATTTTTCTTTATTTAACCTGACAAGGTCTAACCCATGAATCTTCTATTTGAAATGTTTTTTTTAAACGTAATAGGACTATTTTTTAGTTTAACATCTATACAAATTTAGTAAATACAAATGTTTAAACCAGAACTTCTGACAAAACTAACAATAAAAATACAAAGTGCAATTAAGACAAAATAACAAAACCAACTTTTGCTGCAATATTCACCTTAAATCCAGAGATTTTATCTGCAATACTCTTTTCTGCCACTAGATGTCATCAGTCTGCTGGCTAACATCATTCAACCCACCTCCTTTGAGCCTAGGGGGTCCTGGACCCACCCCAGCCTGTGACTGGACACAGACAGGAGAAGTAGCACAGTGATGAGCTGTCGCTAACAATATACTTTCACTTCCTATCAGTATGCTCCTTGTCAGCACATGAACTAATCTGCTCTTTTGTTGCCTCTTCCTCTTACATACCAGTTTGTTGTACATGGGCAGCGAAAGGCTGATATCTGGTCACATTCAGGTACTTACACTGCTTGCACGTAAAACACATTTAATGATGTATTAATGAGTACAGAGCTGCATTCATTTGTGTCATTTATATCATCCTAGAGTTCAGCTTTCTTCCTTTTTTCTAAGTTTCTTAAAGGTATAATAAAAAAGCTATATATCATAGTACAGTAACAGTTTGCATTGGGTGTGGGGTCTTGAGTCACTCTTTTATAAATATGACTTAAAGTCAATTCACTCAAGTATAATAAATCCAGTGTTTTCATTACTGTCTATTATTTACAGATTTTTAAGATCTATATTGAAGTTTACAATCCACAAAAGGCTTTATCGAACTTTTCAGCACAATTTACCACACACATATTTATTTATCGATGTTTGCTGCATTTAAGAAGTAAAATCACAAAGATTTCATGTGGGTTGTCATTCCATAAAACACCACCAGCTTCAGGCGGGAGTTAACTGTTTGTTTTGTATTCATTAGGGAGAGCAGAAAAAAAGTGGATTGATGAAATAAAATACAGATTTGTTTTATTTTAAAATATTTATTTTAAAATAGCAAACACAGATAGAATAAGTTACAGAGTTTATTAATTTGGCCCATAGTTGGCCCTGTACACTTTTCTATGCATTGACACCTTTTCCTGCATTGAGGCAGCCTGATAATTAGGCTCTAATTGCATAGACACAGACCATTTTTTGCAATGCAGTGCACCATAAAGTATTCACATCTGTGCTCTGTGGTGCACTATAGCTCAGGTGCATTTGGTCTGGCTGTATATGTGCGTGGACCAAAGGTGTGGAGCCAGCCTTAAAGCCTGGGTAGACTGACTTTTGTACAAGTCTCTGCAAATTTAAAACCCCTTGAAGCAGGTCAAATGCAGGTCAAACAGAGGCCAAATGTAGGTCAGATGTAAAGGAGAGAGAAATGGCAGCACCCTGTTAAATATTAACACAGGTGTAACTTTTTATTGTTTCAGACAAGCAGACACAAATTTCCCTCCTAATGTTTTTCACCCAAAAACCGAAACAGGTCAGAGGAGGAGGTCCCAAGTGGGGACTTCATGTATGCTTATCTGGAACAAAAAAGTTACATCTTCATTGAATTTTAACGGGGTGCCGCTGGCCGTTTTTCATCTGATGTAAGGGTGGTTGGGACATAGGAAGTGCCCCTGCTCAGCTTCTGGCACCCAAGAGAGTCAGCCAAGAGAGCCATCCAGTGTAATGGACTTGTGAGCTATGGACATATATACCTTAATGAGTTCTTAATGAACTCAGAGGTATCTCAAACTGATGCCATCAACACAAGCCTAAAACCTGTCATCTCAGGCCCTTAATGTGTAAAGCGTTATTCTGCCAATACTTCTATTAGTCTCAGGTGCAGGTGACAGAGTGACAACATAGGAGCACAATTATGCAATTATGAGTTGGGACAAGAACCTTCACGGCAGGATGTACGGAAGGTCCAGTGCATGGGACTATAGCCTACACTTAAACATAATATATAAATAATAAAAAACACAAAACGACTGAATGGATATAATTGGCCACAGCCTTAATTGCAGAATTTCTACAAAACATAACTCAAATAAATTTACTTAATAATCGTTAACATCACTAAAACACAGTCACCACGACTCAAGCCAACCTCAGTGAATGAAAACCTCCATACGTTTTACCATAAAACCAACTTAATTGACTAGCGTCCTTCTCCTGCAGGTGGCGATATACCCTACAGTACAGGATCTACGATCTGTTGCCCTGTGTCCTTCAATGAACGGAAGAGAAATAAAGGGAGGGAGTAGGGTCAAGCTTGCTGCACTGCTGATGGCTGACAGGAGGAAATGTTGCCCCAGCAAGTGCTTGTGGATGTGCAAACTCTGATTTTATATATCTATATATATATATACACAGATATAGATCTATATATA